CTAGTATCCAATTTCTCCTTTTGCTCATTTGATAATTGTTGAAATATTAGATCTTCAGTGAAATCAGGTGCAGAGGATATACCAATCAGTGCAGCAATTCTCTCTGGTAATTGTAGTGCAGCAAGCAACATTAGCCACCCACCCATACTTGAACCAATAATTATTTGTTTACCACTTGTTAATTTTTTGATTGCTTTGATACAATTTGCAAGCCAATCGCTTATCGTATAATCAACGAACTGACCACTTGAATAACCGTGGCCAAGGTAATCAAATAACACAAGGGCTATATCATTTTTTTCGCAAAATTGATAAAGAGCAGTAGCTTTAGTGCCATTCATGTTGGATGCAAACCCACCAAAAAAAACTATAGAAGCTTTTTTACCGGACAATTTTCTATATGCTATATAGTTACTATCGTTGTCAAATAATTTGCAGTAACCCATATTACTTCGGCAACGCAACAGGGCTGTCACTCATTGTACGCAGATAGCTTATCAAGTCAGCAACCTCTTGTGGATTTGAGATGCCAGCAAATGCCATGCGTGTACCTTTCATATAAGCCCTCGGATTGTTTAAAAATGCAAACAGATCCTCATATTCCCACTTACCACCTTTTTCCAGTATTGCTTTTGAATAGTTAAACGAACTACCAAGATGTGCTTTTTTATTACCAACTATGCCCCATAAATTAGGACCAACTTTATTAGGTCCACCTTTTTCAAAAGTGTGACAAGCAACGCATTTTTTGGTTATTGATTTTCCCTTTTCAAAATTAGCATTTTGCATTAATGCATTAATGTCTAACGCTACTTGTTCAATCTTTTGTTGGGATTGATCAACATCAACGCTTACTATAGTTTGATGCTCAACTTCGTACTTTTCTGGACTATACAACATATCAACTACATTACTTACTATCATTATAATTAACGCAGACAACAAAATTGAAGCTGCAATTTTATTCAGTTCCATAGTTAACTTGTAAGACCATACCACATATTATGCAGATATTTTTGTAAACAGCAACATGATTGCCAGTAGACCTGCTGCAAAAGAGTGACAAGAAGATATGGACATAATAGAAGAGAAAAAAGTATGGTAGCAAAATATGAATAGCTAAATCAGAAACCCCTTGAGGTTGAATATTGAAAATTAACCGGGGCATTATGAATGATTTTGTATATATCATGGCAAGCCATAGCACTCTCAGCAAAACCATTTAATATTAACTTCAGTTTGCCTGGGTAGGTGGCTATATCACCAATCGCGTATACTCCATTCCTATTAGTTCTAAGTGTTGCAGGGTTAACAACTATACGATGATGTTCTAATTGTACATTCCAATCATTTATCGGGCCAAGGTTCATTGCTAAGCCAAAAAATGGTAATAGAAAGTCAGCCGGTATCTTTTTTTCTTCCTGAGTGGTGATATGCTTCACAATAACAGCATCTAGCTGCCCATTATTGCCAACTAGACCACCTAATTGATATGGTACTATTAACTCTATTTTTCCTGAGCTCGCCAATTGCTCTAGCTTGTTTTTAGTTTCAGGAGCACAGCGAAACTCTTTTCTTCTATGTATGACATAAATTCTCTTAGCAATTCTTGAGAGTTCCACCGTCCAATCTGCTGCAGAATCACCTCCTCCCGCAATAACAACAGTCCTATCTTTAAAGCGAGAAATGTTATTTACGCTGTAAAATATAGACTTATTTTCATACTCTAGTATACCGTCTAAAGGTGGGCGATTAGGCTCAAATACTCCATTACCCGCTGCAATGACAACAGCTTTAGACTCTATAGCTGTCCCAGTGTTAGTTGTAACAGTAAAACCTTCATTATTGTTATTTAAAATCCTTTCTGCTTTTTGATTTAAGTGATAAACCGGATCAAAAGGTGAAGCTTGTATCATCAATTGTTCAATCAACCCTTGAGCTGTAATGATCGGATAGCCTGGTATATCGTATATTGGCTTTTCCGAATAAAGAGCAGTGCATTGCCCTCCAGCGTGGTCTAAAACATCTATTATGTGACACTTCATACCCAACATTCCCGCCTGAAAAGCAGTGAATATTCCTATAGGCCCTGCACCTACTATTACAATATCGGTTTTCATACTAAAGTTAAGCTAACCTTGCTTAAATAAAATATGGCCAAAGTCATCCATATTCTCAAGAACTCTACCACTTCCCAAAGCAACGCAACACAATGGATTATCCGCAACGCGTACCGGTAGTCTTGTTGTTTCATTGATTACTTTATCCAAATTACGCAGCAACCCACCACCACCAGATAAAACTATTCCTCTATCTACTATATCAGAAGAAAGCTCAGGAGGAGTACTCTCTAAAGCCATTCTAATAGCAGAGATGATCTGATTAACAGGTTCTGCCAAGCTTTCTGCAACTTGCTGCTCTGACAAGAGCATCTCTTTTGGCATGCCGTTTACCAAGTCTCTGCCCTTTACCACTATATTTTTTTTATTGTCTTCTTCCATGATGGAAGCTGAACCTATGCTTTTTTTAATTTTTTCAGCCGTTGCTTCACCAATAAGCAGCTTATGATTTTCACGGATATATGACTTTATTGCTTCATCCATCACATCGCCCCCTACCCTCGCAGAACGCGAATAAACAATCCCACCTAAGGAAATTATGGCTACTTCAGTTGTACCGCCACCTATATCAACAATCATAGAACCTTCTGCCTCAGTAACCGGCAATCCAGCACCTATCGCTGCAGCCATCGGTTCTTCTATTAAGAAGACCTCATTTGCGCCAGCACTTTCTGCTGCGTCTTGTATAGCTCGTCTTTCTACTGGAGTGGAGCCGGACGGAACACAGACAATAATATTAGGTTTATTAATTGTGAATCTTGTATTAGCACTGCGTATAAAATGCTTAATCATTTCTTCTGCACTTTGGAAGTCAGCAATCACTCCATCTTTCAGAGGCCTGATAGCTTCTATTTCACCTGGGGTTTTACCAAGCATCATTTTGGCTTTCTTTCCAAAAGCATATGGCACATAACTGCCTTTCTCCTTTATCCTAGCAACCACTGAAGGTTCGTCTAATACGACCCCCTTATTTTTTTGGTAAACTAGAGTATTTGCAGTGCCTAAATCTATTGCAATATCGCTAGCAAATAAATTTTTTATAATAAAAACACCACGAAATTTTTCCACCAGTCTACTATTCAAATTCATAAGATTACTCATTTAATAAACCGTACTTCCCAGACAAGTAATTAGTATAACACTCAATATCTAAATTCTTATCTGTTATTTTTTCCAACATTTTAAAGATACTACATTTTGCATCATATACATTTTCAGATAACCACTTAATAAGTAAACTAAAATCTCCTTTCGTTACAGCACTCAAGAGCTCACAGTGTTTGTCTTTAATGAACAAAAAAATCTGTACAGCAGCTATAAGAGCTATTATCTTGATAGAAAAATAACCCATAACACCACTGACCCAATATTCATCTTGAAAGTAAGTATCAAACTCATTGTTGGCTTTTACCGGGATCTTATAGTGCTTCATACCTTCTAGCCAAGCATCATGTAAATCCTTTACCTCTAATCTCTCATCTATTAAATCTTGCTCGAGTTTAGTTCTCAACATCACATGTGCTAGCAGAGTAAATTCATCAGCCTTTTTCAGATGAGAAGAGAGATTAACTCTATTAAAGAGTAAATATAAATTCTCAAGACTTCCTACTTTTCCTTTCTCTCTGGTCTTTATAGCAAGTTTCTCTTTTACATGTGGTTGAATAAACTGAATAAATTCTTTTGATGTAGCAAGAACCTTCTCTATGAATAATCCCTGAACTTCGTTTATTGCATCCGTTGTAATGTAGCTACTATTTAATAAATGTTTTTGGTAGATTACATCACCACCACGTCTTAGAAGTGGAAACAATCCATAGCAAAAACTAGATTCATCATAGTTTATTGAATAGTCATAGCATGAATTTAATTCTTCTATATCAACTCCCATATGCTGTAAGCATGCAGATCCGAGCTTTATTTGCTTCTCAATAGAAGCATTTTGTACATTGATAACTTTTTTCTTACTCTGTTGTTCAATTATTCTATCAATGTTTTTATTAAAAAAGCTTCCTATCTGAGGAAATATTTTCTTTATATCTTTTTCTGTGATATCAGCAACTAAAACTGAATCGTACTTTGAACACTTCAATTTTTGTGATCTTATAGAAGCAGTCTCACAGATAAGCTTAACTAAATTAGCAAAAGAATCCTTCAATGTTTTAAAATCATTAGTTTCAGAATGAGATGACTTCCATAGACTAAAGCATTCAATTTTAGCTTTAGAAAGAGCTTTAATTAAACTCAGCGGAAGAACGCTATAGCTCTTATGGAGTCTTTCTATTAATTTTAATTGCCAATTGTTAGCATTATTCTTTTTATCCATAGCACTTACTAGTGACTCTTGCACTAGGTCATGTGAAATCATTTCATATCTGATTTCCTCAAGAAGCCCAATTTGCTCGATTTTACTTTCTATGCTAAGCTTGCTCTGATACAACACTTTGAGCGTATTATCAATATTTCTCGCTTTACGTGATACTTCTTCTAAAAATTCATAAACTCCCATATCTACTCACTTCACTACTATTTTGATACATCCTTGAAATAAAGTTAAAAGTATATTTACTTAGTTGACAATAAAAATATCGCCATGTTTAGACAAATTTTTACACAAATATCTAGTATTTTATTAGAAAATTAATTATAAGGCTATAAAATTAGCACTTTATTTCTCTTGACATGTGAGAATATAAAGAGATCATTAGCTATAAAATGTAATGAAGCACTATTTATATATTAAATTATGGAGGTTTAGTGATGCGGAGTAGGCTGATTATGATGTTTTGTTTCTGTTTTCTGATTACTGGTTTAAGTTCTTGCCCCAAGAAAGGAATGATTATAAACAAAACAAATCCTAAAGCAAAGTCTGTTGTAAGACAGATGAATGTTAAGGAAACAGGTAGTAAAAGAATTTTCTTTGGTTACGATGAATTTAATATCACGGAAGTAAGTGCAGATGCGCTGCTTGATATAGTAGAGGCATTGCAGGATAATCCTGATGCACAGGTTGTCTTAACTGGCCATACTGATAATCGTGGTTCTCATGAATATAATCTTGCTTTAGGTGCTAAAAGAGCAGACTCAGCAAAAAGATTCATGACAAATTGTGCACCTTACTTAGAAAAGAGAATAAAAACTGCTTCTAAAGGTGAAACAGAGCCTTTAGTTTCTGTTCCAGACGATTCTAGGCCTGGTAGCAGCTCTAAGTATGAAAAAGAACATGCTAAGAACCGTAGGGTAGAATTTTCACTTTCTGGAATAAAAAAATAATTTTCCTAAACAGCAATAGCCTGAAGTAAAGCTTTGGGTTATTGCTGACGTCAAAAAATTAATGTTAGAGCTGTTTCAAAATAAAATTGAAGATCTTGTTATACCCAACAGCAAAGTTGCCGTTGCAGTATCTGGCGGGGTTGATAGTGTAGTTTTGCTACACCTTACAGTCAACTGGACGCAAAAAAACAATTTTCCACTACCAATAGTGTTAACCGTTGACCATAAGTTACGCCCTGAATCTAGAGATGAAGCTAATTTTGTTGTAGATTATGCAAGACAACTTGGTACAGACTCATTCATACTAGACTGGGAAAAAGAAGGCATCAGTGGCAACATTCAATCACAAGCACGAAAGGCACGTTATAAGCTACTAACAGAATGGTGCAAAAGTAATAATAATATTCAGTATTTATTAGTTGCTCACCACAGAGATGATCAAGCAGAAACGTTTTTATTGAGACTAGAACGCGGTAGTGGGATAGATGGATTATCTGCAATGAATTATCAATCCTTTCTTAATGGTGTGTGTATCTTGAGACCATTACTAGATTTTAGCCGCAGCGATATAGAAAAATATGCAAAACATCATCAATTGAAATGGATTGAAGATAGAAGTAATAAAGATTTGAAATATAGACGTACCTTGTACCGTAATTTACTAAAAACAATTGATAATCAGGATACTTTAACACAACGGATATCTCTTTGTATTCTCCATATGAACAGAGCTAAACAAGCATTAATTCACTATACACGTCTTGCACTTGATGAGTGTATTGATGTACACGATTTTGGCTACATTGAAATTCAAATCAATAAATTCCATAAGTTACCAGAGGAAATAGCTTTAAGGATTCTTCTGTATTCCATTATGGCAATCAGTGGTAAATACTATAAACCACGCTACAATAGCCTTACTTTTATATTCAATAAAATACTAAACCAGGATAACAATATTGATCACACTTTTTCAGGATGCAAGATAAAAAAATATAAGGAAAGTATCCTGATTCTTAGAGAGATATCAAAAGTAAAAACAGTAACTGTGAATCTACCTACTGACAAACCTATAAGATGGGATAATAGATTCAATTGTATGGTACTCGTAAATCAGAAATGTTCAGTGATTATTGCTCCATTAAAAAAAATTCCTGATTTTTTTAAGAGCTATGATTGCTATCCTGAAGTTTTTTATTCCCTGCCCGTAGTGCAAAAAGGCAAGGAAATATTTGCTTACCCATATACTAAAACAAATGCAGAATTACAATACATTGTTAATTGCACAATAAAAGAAAATTTGATAAGCTTGGCACGTTGAGTGTGGACAGGCAATGAGGAATTCAAAGTTTTCTAAGTTATTTCTAATATTTTTATCTATTTCATTGGTCACTTTAATAGCTTTATCGGTGATTCTAGCCATCACCTTTATTGTTATTTATGGACTTTATTTAATACATGCATGCCTTTTTGGGGTAGAATATGCCATGTATGTTGCTTTACAGTATCACATACCAGCTATAGAAATAATAGCAATATGTATAGCTATTCCAGTTATAATTGCAGTCTATTTATTAGGATTAAAAGACAAAACACAAAATAAGCAAGAAGATCCATTATCACGTTATAAAATGAGCACAGTAAAATTGAAGGATGTCATCATTTCAGACGAGGTAAAAGCTGAGTTACAAGAGGTTTGTAACCACATATCAGAAGATTACAAAATGGCTATTGAATTACTGGACTGTCAACCATCGACAGGGTATCTTTTCTACGGTCCTCCTGGAACTGGTAAAACACTTCTGGCTCGCGCAATTGCAGGTGAAGCAGGTCTTGAATTTTTTAGTATTTCAGCTTCTGAATTTGTTGCAAGATTTGCTGGTCAAAGTGCAAACAACGTAAAAGATTTGTTTGCACAAACAAGGAAAAAAGCTCCCTGCGTTCTTTTTATAGATGAAATAGACTCTATTGGTGCAGAAAGAGGTTCTTCCAATGGTTCTGCTACCCAAGACCATAATAAAACTTTAAATCAGTTATTGACTGAAGTTAATGAAATTGGAAAACATGGAATAATATTAATCGCCGCAACTAATCGACTGGAAGTTTTAGATGAAGCATTAGTTAGGCCAGGTCGTTTTGATAAAAAAATCTGCATTCCTTTGCCAGACTTGGGTTCACGCGAAAAGATACTAAGATTATACATGAAGGACATACTCAAGAAATCACATTTAAATTTTAAAGAGATTGCAAGAAAAACTAATGGATATTCAGGAGCAGATTTAAATTATTTGGTTAATGAAGCAAAAAAGCATGCTGCAAGCCGGTTTGTAGAGATCGTAGAACAAACATGGTTAAAGGAGAAAAAATATCCGGAAGTAGAGCAACTAACTGTTACAATGGATGATCTTGAACATGTAATAGTGAAACTTAATAACGAGAAGAAGGAGCACATAAATAGTATTATTAATAATATTAATAATGGTACCGATACCTGGGGCTGTAATTCGTTAAGAATGTAATAGATTTAAAGTACGATTGAAAATAAAGCTCTAATAATGTAGAATCTTCTTTTGTACCAATAACCGTTAATGATAGGAAATTTAAGCGGAATAATAGATGAAGTCCATAGTGATTATGTGATATTGAATGTCAATGGTGTGGGCTACATTGTATACCTTTCAGCTAAAACTTTAGGTATTTGTACTGTTGGAAATAAGGTTAAGTTTCTTATCGAGACTTACATAAACAGTAGAGATAATTCCACTCAGCTATACGGATTTATAAGCAAGGAAGAGCAGAAGTGCCTACGCTTACTTGTTAAAGTAAATGGTGTAAGTTATAAAACTGCAATGTCAATTTTGAGTAAATTAACTCCAGAACAATTCTTTTTAGCAGTGGCACATGGAGATAAAATATTACTCAAGATAAGTGGATTAGGTCCAAAGCTTATCAACCGCATTATCACCGAGCTATGTGGGAAAGTGGATAAACCAGAAGTAAACATTTCTCCCATTCAAGAAGACGCTGTTTCAGCTTTAGTCAACCTTGGCTATGAAAAAATGAAAGCTTATGATACCATAAAAAAAATACAAGATGAATCGCCAGATTTGGAAACTAAAGATATAGTACGTATGGCATTGAAGGATCTATCAACACTATGAAATCAATATTGTGTAATAAAGAATACGAAGAAGATGCACGTGGCATTAACATCAGACCAGAACAACTTGATGATTTCATTGGGCAAAGAGATTTAATACAAAATCTTAAAGTTTTCATAAATGCTGCGCAAACAAGAACTGAAGCTCTTGATCACGTTTTACTCTGCGGTCCTCCTGGTCTTGGTAAGACAACTTTGGCCCATATTGTGTCTAAAGAGCTGAGAGTTAGTTTTCGTGCAACTTCCGGTCCACTTCTTAATAAAGCTGGAGATTTAGCTGCTGTTCTTACTACTCTTAATGCAAAAGATGTTTTGTTTATTGACGAAATTCACAGGCTAAATCGCAGTATTGAGGAAGTGTTATATACTGCAATGGAGGATTTTTGTTTAGATATATTGGTAGGTGAAGGCCCGGCAACACGCACTCTAAGGATTGATTTACCGCCATTTACGCTGGTGGGAGCAACAACTCGCCTTGGCTTACTTTCCGCACCATTGAGAGATCGTTTTGGAATTCCTCTCCATCTTGAGTTTTATTCATTTGCAGAACTAGTAGAGGTTATCAAGAGGGGTGCAAAAATTCTCTCCATTGAAATTGAAGAGAGTGCTGCACAAGAAATTGCTTGCCGTGCACGCGGCACTCCAAGAATTGCTCTGAGGCTACTCAGAAGAATAAGAGATTTCGTTGAGATGGAAAGTGAGCGGAGAGTCACTCATGAAATTGCTGATTCTGCACTACTCAAACTTGGAATAGACAAAATGGGGCTGAACAAACTGGATATGGACTATTTAAAATTTTTATTTAACACTTCAGGTCCGGTAGGGATTGAAACCATATCAATTGCACTATCAGAAGATGTGGGAAATATCGAAGAAACGGTAGAACCTTACTTAATTAAAATCAGTTTTGTAAAGCGTACACCAAGAGGAAGAGTGTTAACTGATCAGGCAAAAGAGTACATAAATCTCAAATATTAAAAAATTATTGAAAATTATCCTTGACTAATTTATTTACATGAGTACATTAGCATTCATAGGTTATGTTAGGGGGTTATATGACTACAAATACTCAAAATCAAAATACTGAAATTGTTACTGTCATAGAGTCTAAAAAGGCTACAGAGGCTAAAGGGCCTATAGAGGCTGAAAAAGCTCGTGGGCTATTCGCTCAAATTAAACATTTTTTTAAGCCTTTTATTAATCACATAAACGATAATTCTGTCAATTACATAATCAACAAAGTAAGGTTTAGTGACTATAAACCTTACGATAAGCATTTAAAAGACCTAGCTGAGGAAGCTAAAAAGAAAATTATTGAGTATATAAAAAATGATAAGTATATAAAAAATAATACCCCTCCTCAATTTGTGAGGTTGGACGAAGGTTCAGTGAAAAATATGTTGACTGCTATGGTTACCCTNGTTTGCTAAGAAGAATAATATAAAAGCAGTTACTTTATTGTTACCTGGTCAAGATGAAAGGAGAGGTATATGCGGCAGTATTGGTGATAATGGTGCTAGAGTGTATGAAGTAATAGAGGGATCGTATCAAATAACTCTGAAGTGGTATATTGAAGAAAGAGAATGCAACTTAAAAATTAACCTCTATGAGGATGGTTCTGTAGAGTTGGTTGAATATAATGGTTCTGCAGAAGACCTAAAACAGGACAACGTAAAGATAGGCAAGAAAGGTGAAGCAAAGAGTTTGTATGAAGTTGTAGGTGCTAAATTGATAGCAGCACAGCAATCACAACTAGAAAATTCTGAAACAGAACCACCTTTAACACCTAGCATAGAAGAATGCAAACAACCAAAAATTGACCCCCATGATAAGAGTAGCTCTGATGATTCGCATAACCCTGAATCGAGAGAAGTACAGCAACCACAACCAGAAAATTCTGAAACAGAACCACCTTTAACACCTAGCATAGAAGAATGCAAACAACCAAAAATTGACCCCCATGATAAGAGTAGCTCTGATGATTCGCATAACCCTGAATCGAGAGAAGTACAGCAACCACAACCAGAAAATTTTGAAACAGCACCACCTTTAACACCTAGCACAGAAGAATGCAAACCAAAAATTGACCCCCATGATAAGAGTAGCTCTGATGATTCGCATAACCCTGAATCGAGAGAAGTACAGCAACCACAACCAGAAAATTTTGAAACAGCACCACCTTTAACACCTAGCACAGAAGAATGCAAACCAAAAATTGACCCCCATGATAAGAGTAGCTCTGATGATTCGCATAACCCTGAATCGAGAGAAGTACAGCAACCACAACCAGAAAATTTTGAAACAGCACCACCTTTAACACCTAGCACAGAAGAATGCAAACCAAAAATTGACCCCCATGATAAGAGTAGCTCTGATGATTCGCATAACCCTGAATCGAGAGAAGCACAGCCATCACAATCGGAAAATGAATTACCTGACATAAATGTTGATGATTCAAATACAAACCTCCATGATGAGAGTAGCTCTGTGGGGTTGGTTGGATATGCAGATGATTTGTATATAGGAGCAGAAGCATGGCAACCACAATCAGAAAATTCTGAAACACCACCACCTTACACAAATGTTGAAGCTTTATATATAACATCACTTAAAAAATCTATACAGAAAAGGCTTGGGCTATCTAAATAGTTTTTTATTGATTTGTATGTCACTAAAAATACTGCCGAAGAGTTTTTATGAGCGTTCAACTTTGGTAGTGGCGGGAGATTTAATAGGAAAAATTCTGAAATTCTCTCGCTTTAGTGGCATAATAACTGAGGTTGAAGCTTATGTAGGCAAAGATGATCCAGCTTGTCATGCGGCTAAAGGGTATACTGAACGCACTTCAGTGATGTTTGGTATGCCTGGGTTTTCATATGTATATTTTATATATGGTATGTATTACTGTTTAAACATTGTCACAGAGGGAGAAGGCTTTCCTGCAGCAGTGCTGGTACGCGGGTTGAAACTCACCAGTCCATTTGAAGATAATTTAGGCGGGCCAGGAATACTATGCAAAAGGTTAAACATCACAAAAGAACACAACAAGCAAGACTTAACCTTAAACCATGAATTCTGTGTTTATGAGTCCAATTTACACCTTAATTACGTGTGCACCCCAAGGATAGGCATTAGTAAAGGCAAAGAAAAGTTTTGGCGGTTTAAGGTATAAACTTTTTCATCTACTGCAGCCGATACACTTCTTACAGTCACTATTATCACGCCTTGCTCTTAGTTGGTAACTTGCTCCAGTAACATTTCCTTTTTTTAAGTACTTAACAATATCATCTATTGAGCTAAACCTTGTTCCCTGCACTCCATACTCATCTTCTATATCAAGTATACCTTCTAAAAATTGTTTATTTTCTTCTTCTTCCATTTCAAGTGCTATCTCTATAATTTCACTATCTTCCTCACTAAATGGAATTGCATCTAATGCCTCTTTTAATAATGAATTATCTTCACGTCTACATTTCTTAGCAGAAAAACATGCACCATCTTGTACAGATTCTTCGTATTTTCTTTTGACCCCATTTATCCTCAAATTTCCTGCAAGATTTGTTTGTGGTAAAATATTCTTAGGAGTAGAGGAGTGAAAACAATTTTTAACTACTGTTGAAATCAGTTCTTGCTGAGAAAGGCATGCCATTACCTCAAATGGTTTACGGCCAGCCTTCACATATTGCTCTATCTCTGTTGCTAACATATATCTCCTATTAACCGCCCCTTAAATTAAAATTTTAGCAAGATTTTTGTTTTTTTTCAACTGCTGCGTTGATAAATGATATAAAGAGAGGATGAGGAGAAAAGGGTTGTGATTGAAATTCTGGATGAAATTGCACACCGATAAACCATGGATGATCCTTTAATTCTATCGTTTCCACACACATCCCATCTTCTGAAATGCTACTACACATTAATCCTTTTTTCTCTAAACTATCCCTGTAATCCAAATTGATAATATATCTGTGCCTATGTCTTTCTGAAATAGTAGCGTCGCCATATATACTTGCAACCTTAGAATCTGGATTCACATTACACATGTATTCTCCCAGTCTCATAGTTCCACCAAGATTAACACTTTGGTTATTGATCAACTTAATGATAGGATTTTTACAGACGCAGAATTCTTCAGAGTGTACGTCTTCAAGCTTTACAACATTACGAGCAAACTCAATAACCGCAAGCTGCATACCAAGGCATATACCAAGGAATGGTATACCATTTATACGTGCGTAACTTATTGCTAAAATCTTGCCTTCTATTCCATGATCGCCAAATCCTCCAGGCACAAGAATTGCATGAGAATTTTTCAACTGCTCTTCCAAGGATTTTTTATCTAATATTCTAGAATTAACC